ATATTTTTCATGTATTTAAATAATTTAAATGAATTAATATTAATATAAATTCAAATAAATAAATAAAAATTGAGAAAATACTTCCCTTTGGGCCAAGTGGTCGTGCATAGGCTTAGAATGATGAATCATGGAAGAAAAATGGGCCCATTTGCATTTTTAGGTCATTTGGATCAAAGTTGACTTTTCAAAATTTCCAAAAATTTCCCAACTTCCACAAGGCATAACTTGCTCAATTTTTAAGCTTTTCACATGTTCTTGGACATTTTGGAAAGGTCTTTGAGTCCTCTAACCAATGCCTTTGGTCCCATGTCATTTTGATTTACCAATCTCAAGTTATGGCCTTTGACTTAAAGTCCCTTTTTGTTGACTTTTGAAAATGACCTATAATGTTGAAATTGATAACTTTTTGTGAGAGCATTTCTTGGACTTGAAATATGAAGATGAATTGTAGGAAATGTCTTTCTCTTCAAAATGAGCTTTGGATGGAATTTTTCTGATAATCCATGTGAAAGTTATGCCCTGGTCAATTTCAGTTGACTTTTTCAGCTGTCCAAATATAGTAACTTTTGCATCTTGATGATTTTCTGAGCCAAATTTTGAGAATCATGATCAAGCATTGATAAAATGATGTTTGTGGCTTCAAAATGATATATTGACCAAAAATTTGAACTTTTGACTGCCAAATGACCATTTTGCCCCTACAGTTGACTGTAGTGCAATTTAGGGTTTTGACTGTGCAATTTTGAGCTGAATGCCTTGAAACTTGATATGAGGATACTTGACCATCTTTGTAGGCATATGAGACTTGATTGGGTCCTTGAAAACTTCCTTTCTTTGATCAGAACACAAACCCTAGTTTTGACTGTATAGGAGACAGTTGAGCTTCATGACCCTTGGGGAATTTTGTGACTTGACTTGGCAATTTCTTGAAGAATATGGGAGGGCAAATTTTGGGGTACAACACAAGGCTTGAAATTTGGCATGAGCATTCTTAGAGACATGTGAGAAACCATGGAATCCACTTGAGTCATTAGAAGCTCAATTTCCTTTAAGAAAAGCAAAACCCCAGTTGTAGGTCAACTGCTTAGGAGGAGGACTTGTCTGATCAATTCCTTGAATAGTCTTGAGCACTTAAAAACCCTAGGAGCATGAGGAGGTATCTTGAATTAATTGTCTTAAAAAATGAGAGAGAAAATTTTGGGGTACAACACAGGACACTACAAAGATGATTGTCCTAAACTTTTGAAGGACAATACCAAGAAAAGAGATCTCAAAAGCAAAAAGAAATGGCTAATAGAAACCTAGGATATCTTTGAAGACCACTCAAAATAAGAGCATGCTAACGTAGCGATGATGGCTCATGTTAGAACCTCTAAGGAGGAATGGTATCTAGAAGATAAAGCAAGCTCTGAATCATACACAAAAGAGAAATCCTTAGCAGCTCAGGTGAAACATCAGTCATGGTATCTAGACTATGGCTGCTCATGCCACATGACGGGAAGAAGGCATATGTTTCAAAGCCTGGAACTCAAACTCGAAGGTATCGTGGGTTTTAGAGGAGATCAGAAGGGAAAGATCACAGGCTCCGAAACAGTTAGTAACGACTCTCTTCCCTCTATAACTAATGTTTTACTTGTTGATGATTATTGCACAATTTATTATTTATAAGTCAATTAAGTGATAATGGTTATGATATTATTTTTAATCAAAAATCATGTAAAGTTGTCAGTAAGAAGGATGGATCCATTATATTCAATAGAAAAATGAAAAACAACATCTATAAGATTAGACTTTCTGATTTTAAAGAACAAAATGTAAAAATGCCTTATGTCGGTTAATGAAGAGCAATGGAGTTGGCATAGACGGTTGAGCCATGTCAGCACGAGAAGAATATCTCAGCTAAAAAAACTCAATCTAGTCAGAGGCCTCCCTAATCTGAAGTTCTCTTCAGAAGCAGTTCTTCGTGAAGCATGTCATAAGGACAAGTTTTCAAAAACCTCTTTTAAAGTAAAAAAAAAAACGTTGTTTCTACCTCCAGACCATTGGAACTTATGCATATTGATTTGTTTGGTCTAGTAAAGACAACATCAATCAGTGGAAAGAAATATGAATTGGTCACTGTTGATGACTATAGCAGATGGAATTGGGTAAAATTTCTTAGACACGAGGATGAGTCACACTTTGTGTTTACCACCTTTTGTAACCAAGTACAAAATGAGATGAGACTCATAATTGTTAAGGTTAGAAGTGATGATGGAGGAGAATTTAAGAACAACCACTTTGAAAAATAGTTTGATAAGAATGGAATTTCCCTTGATTTCTCCTGTCCTAGAACTCCATAATAAAATGGAGTCATAGAAAGGAAGAATAGGACCTTGCAAGAAATGGATAGAACCATGATAAATGAAACCAACATGGAGAAGTACTTCTGGGAAAAGGATGTGAATACAGTGTGTTACATTCATAACAGAGTCTCTATAAGACCCATTCTAAATAAGACTCTCTATGAATTATGGAAAAACAAGAAACCCAATATTTCTTATTTTCATCCTTTTGGATGCTCCCGTTTTATTCTAAATACTAAAGAGAATCTTAATAAGTTTGACTCTATTGTAACCCAAAATTTTCCCTATCATTTCTCAAGAATTTTATCACAAGATTTCTATTAGGTCAAGACTGCACAAGGTTTGATCAGCTCAAGATACTTCCTCAACACTGTTGACTCAAAACTAGAGTTTGAATTTGCACAAGTACAATTGAACTTTTAACGCCCCATGTAGTTTCCATGGATCATATTAGGCTCTTAAGCATCAAATAAAAGAAGAGCAAGTTTGCTTCGATTCATAAGCTTCGATTGGGCATTTGGCTTCCTTCGAGCAAGCTTGGTTCATAAGCTTCGATTGGGAATTTGGACTCCTTCGAGCAAGCTTGGTTCACAAGCTTCGATTAGGCATTGGCCTCCTTCGACAAGCTTGATTCATAAGCTTCGATTGGAAAATTGGCCTCCTTCGAGCAAGCTTGATTCACAAGCTTTGATTAGGCATTTTGTTTCCTTCGAGCAAGTTTGGTTCACAAGCTTCGATTGAGCATTGGCCTCCTTTGAGCAAGCTTGGTTTATAAGCTTCGATTGGGTATTTGGCCTCCTTCGAAATTCCAAGCCAACAAGTACAAGGAAGGTGAGGGACACCTAACACCTCCCCCTCACTTAACTAACTCCTAAACCCTTATTCGGTTGCAATGAGCGTCTTATCATTCCCTTAGGATTTTCTCAACATTTCCTCTGTTCCTTAGGAATGAATAAAAGATTATGGAGACTCTGTGGTTTTTTTGGCTGCAACACGATCTAACACAATACAAATGACTTATTTAATAATTAAGATACCTTTGTCACACTAGGCCTGACCTAGCATACAATGTACCTATGGTGAGTAGATTCATGAAGAAGTCAAATGTATCTCATCTCATAGCTACAAGAAGGATAATAAGGTATCTCAAAGGGACTCTCGACTATACCATTTTGTTTTCTGCAGCTGATGAAGGAAAATAATTCAAACTAGTGGATTGCACCGACTCGAGTTGGTGTATTGATGTTGAGGATAGAAAATTCACAGCTAGTTATGTGTTTATGTTAGGTGGTACACCAGTTGCATGGAGATCAAGAAAAGAACCAATAGTAGGATTGTCGTTGTGTGAAGAAGAATACATAGCAGTTTTTCTTTGTGCATGTCAAACAATGTAGATGGTGAATTTGGTCGAAGAAATTATAACGAAGAACCATGGAGCTATTACCATGAAGATCGATAGCATGTTTGCTATCAATCTGGCAAAGAATCTGATAGCACATGGAAGAAGAAAATACATTGAAATAAGGTTCCATTATCTTCGAGAGCAAGTAGCAAATAGGAAACTGAAATTGGAACACTGCAGAACGGGGGATTAGATTGCATGCATCATGACGAAGAGTGTGCATGTCGAACTGTTCAAAAAATTGAGAACTATGATGAAGGTAGATAACTTAGACACAATGAATTGGATGATGTATTGAAAGAATAACTCTTTGTGTCAAAGCAAGTAATTCAACATAGTGTGTTATTGTCGAAATCCTTGTGTGTGTCGAAGGAAGTCGCCGAAAGGTCGAAGTTGAATTAAAACTCAGCATTTTTGTCTGTATGTTTTAACTGAGTTAGTTAGTTAGAGATTCCTTGATGTACGTAATTTCTGCTATAAATAGGTAGGTACTCTATCATTTGTAATGAGTGTGGAGAAAAGTTGAATAATAGTTTTTCACTTTTGAATGGAGAGAAAGAGAAACTTTGCAAAATTCTTCTTCTTCCACTTTTCTCCCAAATCCTATTTTTTGTTTTCTTCTCCAATTCATCTTTCTTTCTTCTTAAAATTTCTTTTCAGCGTGAATTATCTTGTAACTAGAATGTGATTGATTCACTCGAATGAAATAGTAAACAACAAGAGACGAAATCAATCAGAAGAATTGATTCTTGTTCATTAAGATTGATTTGAATTAGCTCCAAAATTGAGGTTTAATTCCACCTATTTTAAATCTAAAGAATTATCTATGGAGATTTGATAAAGACATGGCTCCAACTCAACAATATTGATTCCAGTCGGGTCACACCATATGCTTGCCAAATCAGAGTTTAGCGATATTTTATGGATTGGCTTTTCATATATATGTTTTTCCCTAATTGAATTTTGATTGTGCTTGTATGCTTATTGAATACCATTGTCATCCCAAACACAGTAATCAGGGTCTTCTTCCATATCTTGATTACCATTTTGGCTCTATTGTTGTTGATTATTTTCATACTCGATTCTTTCTTGCAGGTTCTGATTTTGGGCTCTACTACTTTCGTTTTCCAGAAAAAGACCGCAGGGATTTGCAATTTGGATGGTTGATTTCCACAAACCATTTCCAAACAAGACCTATGTCTCTTCCCTTTATCATGAATCCTTCGGATTTCTGTAGAAAGTGAAGATCAAAGCTAGAAATAGCTTGGAGAAAGGTGGCAGCACCATAAAAAGAAGATCAACGGCAATTTTGATTTCACGCCGAATAGAAATGAAGGCACTATCTTAAAGAGGAAGAGACCGATCAAACGAAATATTTATACATGATGTGATATTTCGACACTCGAATTCTTAGTTAAAAGTATGTATACATTTATTTATAATTCTGGTCGAGTTATTTCAAACCAAAAAAGATAGATTTATTAGCGGTATGATTAAGTCATTTGTATATCATCTCAAAACTTCTTGATAAATTCATATATGTGCTTATTGATTTCCTCTGCTGCTTCTTGATTGTTGAAGTGAGCAACATCCTTTTGCACAATTACTTCCTCCAAATGGGGCACATCTTCCTTGAATCCTCCACCAAATATATACTCCGATAGGTTAAGCGAGGTGTATACGGAGTCTAACTCACCAGTAATGAATTTCACAGGCACTTGGATTTTCACTCCATTCCATGGTGCCATCAGCTCCCAATTTCTGCAATCCAAGTAATAATTTTGAATGTCAACATAGATTTGTCGAACACAATCTGAGCCAGCACATAGAATCAAAACATTACAAGTTAAAGTTTCTATAGTAGTTCAATCCTCCGGTGAAGCCAGTTTTCTCAAATTTGGATACATAATATGCAAGATCATCTTCCGTGAGCCAAGACGGCAAAGTATCAGGAGTATCCGGGTCGAATCCTGTTCCATACTCTCCCTTTGGAAGGATTGGAGGACCTGGTTTCCGAGATGTGAGGATATCTTTCAGAACATATGCAGTGCCAACTTGAGCCATCTCAGCTTCCATTTTTCCTGGTTCCTGTGATTCGGATCAAAAACAGTTATGATATCATGTCTCCATAAACAGTTATAATTAAAACTAAAGAAATGGAAGGACCTGAAATCTGCAGATATAATAATCGTCACCGTAAAAAGCGCGCATGCCATCAACGGTCCTGATTTTGGGGTCTCTATGGAGAAAGGGAACACTAAGGCAGACATATGCTTTGATTTTTTCAGGACGAAACATGGAAAGGTACCAACCAATGATAGCACCCCAATCATGAGCAACAAGGAATACTTGTTCAACGCCGAGTAAATCGATGAGAGCAACGATGTCACCTGCTATATGAAAACCTGTGTAGTTGCTAACTGAAGCTGGAGCTTCGGTGTCACCATAGCCGCGGAGATCCGGAGCCACAGCACGGTAACCGAGGGAGCCGAGAGCAGCAATCTGGTGGCGCCATGAGTACCAGAGTTCAGGGAAGCCGTGAAGGAACAACACAACTGGTCCTTGTTTTCCTTTCTCGGCGATATGCATTTTGATGCCATTCACTTCCACTGTTCTGTGTTCTATTTCTTCCATCTCTTTTTTGTGAGTAGCAGAGGGAGGGTGGTGGTTATGATCACATTCACAATTAGGAAGAAAAGAGAGAAAGAATGAGAAAGAGACAACAAGAAGCAAAAGGTAAAATTGAAGTCATTGCATGCCTAAGTTGAGTTGTATGAGCAAACCGCTGCTCTTGTTCGGACTATTTATACACACTTGTGATCATTACTACTAGTGTTAGACATATCATCTTGACATGGTATGTTTGTGTTTACATACCATTCTTTTTTTCGTTTCTGTTACATATGCCGTCCTTGTAAGGATTCAATCAAGTGCATTTAATCTCATTCATAAATTTTGATTAATATGCTAATTTATAGTTGCTTACAATATAAGAAAGCCAACTGTTGAAATTTTGTTATACCTAACCTAACATTTTTCAACCAACTTACCTATCTAACTATCTAGCTTTTGGTCAACTAACTTAAAAGCTTTACAACTAACAAAACCTCCCTTAAGCCCAAGTTGTGTAAACAACTAGATTACAACAGATTAACAATACAAAATCAGAATTAAACCACATTTGAAATTCTACATACTTCAAGCAGCTTTCTATACCTCTCAAATAGCTCTATCTTCAAAGTTTTGTCATCACATCTTCCATATGATCTCGTGATGCACAATATATCAGCTCAGTTGCTCCTTCTCTACACAAATTCCTTAAAAAGTGAAATCTTTTGTTTGTATGTTTACTTCTTACTTCTTCCATGCGTAAGTGGTTTTTATTCAATTTAAGAGTTTAGCTATTATCACAAAAAAAAAAGTCATACATTTTTCTTGCTTCAGCCCCAAGATTTCCAAAATTCTATGCAGTCATATACCTTGACAATCACACTGAGTTGCAAGTATAAACTATGCTTCAATTGCTGATAGATTCACAATTGGTTGCTTTCTTGATGACCAAGAAACAACATATACCGACATAACCACATAACACGGTAAGATTTTTTCTAGCATTCACACCCTTTACATAATCATTGTCAGAGTGGGAAATCAAATTAGAGTTCCCTCCTTTCTTGTACAAGACTCCTAGCTCTAGAATCACTTTTACGTATCTTAGAATCACTACTACAAAAAACACATCTAACGCCGGACGCGAAATGTGCTTGATATCGGTAATAGAAACGAGGTAAATACGGACGTCATAAAAGATTACTCCTTATCACCTCGGATATTAAAACATTGAGGGGTCAAGTTAACTGCATGCAGGTTCGATTCCCAGCATGAACATTTTTATTATTTTCATAACTGAATGGCGCACGCCATATTAACACTCGGTGTTTTTGAAGAACCGAGGTAATATATCAATATTCTTACCTCAGTTTATTATGGAAATTGAGGGGTTAAGATTTATTTTTTTTCCTGTTGTTGTTTGCACCTGAATTACAGAACCATATTACAAAATAAAGAACCATATTTTACAAATTCCTGAAACAAAGACGTTGTACATTTTTCCAATTCCTCAATCTGAAACAGAAATATTCATTGATTACACCAAAATGCAAACCCAAAATGCCACACACTTCACACTTTTACATTAAAACAAAAACAATTGATTAAGAAACAAAAGCAATAAATATATTACTTACTAGTTTTCCCGTATACCCTCTCCATGATCACGACAAATAGCATGCACATAATCTAAATCATTTTCTTCAAATGATTGACGTACACGTGTTGCTAAAAAATGAGTCTCATAGTTAAAATTTTGATTTTCATCAGTACTATCGGGAAGATGTTTTCCTTGAAGAACAATTTGAAGGTGTGAAAAACACAAGAAAAAGGGGGTTGGAATTGGGTTTTAAATTAAAAAAATTTCCTTTTAAAATTCCCTTTAAACTGTAACAAGTTACTTCACTTAGTGATAATAGTGATTAGATGTAAGAAGGAAAGAACAAGTTATGTTTATACTAGCTCACTTGAAAACTACCAAGCAAGTCTAATCCACCCGCCAAAGTGATTTCGCCTTTCTCAACAAGGACTTAATCCAATAATCAAACAAATTATTACAATGCACAAGCTAACTGCAAGTGACTAACGTTACAACCTCTAAGACACACTAATCTTAGACTTCTCAAAGATTATGACCAACTGGTCCCTTAAGGAAAAATCAAACAACTTTTTGAACAAAGTTTGTTTATAAGAAATTATGCTTCTACACAAGCGGATATGTAAACAATAATTGTAGAACATAGACTAGAGAAATATGAAAGCGTATGAACGGTCTTAATAGAAAGTGTATCAACGTTGTGATACGGTGGCAGAACCGACTGTTTATACTGGTTTTGCGTTTGTATTCGCAAATGTTGCAGTAAGCAAGAGTCTCCACCGACTTTTCTTTTATCCAACAAAGGAAAGGGTGAAAAGAACAGAAAAAGACCTTTTCGAGAAATTTTTGAGTAAGGGGGGTAGATTATGGAAAGGGAATGTGTTAATACCCTTTCCATCCGTAGTTTTCTATGGGCTCTTAGATGCTTAGCTCATTTGAAAAATACCTTGTGCTTTGTGTATTTTGAAAAGTATTTTGAAATGCCTTAGTGCGGAGATTTGCTTTATGATAACTCTTGTATCAGTCCTCACGAGTGTTAATAAAGCGTTTTTGAAAATGTTTTGAAATGTTTTTGTGTAGGTGTAAAAAGTTTGTTTGAGCAAGCATCTAACAGCTATCTACTATACTTGAAAGGATTGTTCTTTTCCTCTTTTCCTTTAGACAGTGTTATCCTACTATTAGTGAGTAGGTAGACCTAGTCGTTTGGATGTATGAGGACCATTCGTGGGTCATCGTTGTTTACCTTGGTTATTGGTAAACAACCGCTGATCCTCCAAATGGTTACTTATTTGGTTACTCGCAGGATCGATCAGATTGATCCTAGGACATAGGTTGATTTTGAAGTCTTGATTAAATTAGATAATGGTTAAATGACAATAAAATAAAGAGGGCTTTAAGCAAATTGCATGAAGAAGTAGGCTTGCTAGAGTAAATGAAGGCTTAAAGTAAATTGCATGAAGAAGGACTTTGATAAAATAAAGGAAGGCTTTAAATGAAGGGTTTCGACAAGATAAGTAAAGAAGAAAGCAAGTAAATTTCTGGAAAAGTAAATGACTTTGATTAATAAAGTTGGTGTTTCACACATACATTTCTCAACAATTCTTTCTCACACGCTGGGTACTTGAATCTATATGAGTGACTTTGTATATTATTGTGAACACCCGCGAGAATCTGCGTGAACTACTATTATTTATACTAAAACATCCCAAGTAACCGTCGGGCAGTTACACTGCTTCGAGATGATCCCACTTGGCACGTTCTCAACGTTCGACGCTCCATATCTTGGCATGTTGCACTTGGTAACCGCTGGAAACCGTTTTCCCTCCAAATGCTTGAATTTCAAACCGTTCCACTCTGAACCATCGAACACCTTCGTCGAGAAGCATCTTCGATGATAAACACCTTCGACGTCGAAGGCAACCAACTTCTCCCTTGGAAGAAATCTTCTAAGTACATTGCCATCTTTCGATGGGCATTTCGACGGACCTAGCTGGTCGAAAACATCCCTCAGCCTTAATGGCTGACATTAATGAAACAAGGGTGTCGAATTTAGGAGCCAACAAATTGCCCCCCAAGAATGCCTTATTTCGACTCTGAAAGAAAAAGGCATTCTTTGAAATACCATTCGACACCTGTCTTTTCATTCTTAGTCACAAATTAAATTGTGCACTTTTTGTTGTCTTCTACTAACCACTGACAATCCCAAGAAAAACCATCATTCATCCGTACCTAAGACGTCACCTCAGTACGGCGTGCAGTGTGCCAAACGTCATTTCAGAATTTGTCATTATGACAATTCCCAAAAACGAGGGCGCACGCTGCAACCCCTCCATTTCTGCAGAACGACTAAAACAACAGGGAGACGCCACGTGTCCCACTACCCTCTGCAACATTAAATGGCATTTAATGCCCTCGATTTTGGGGATTTTCTCCCACTACTATAAATAGCAGTAAGTACCCATTGTGGGACTTTTTACGCTATCTAACTTTCAGACTTCTCCATTTGCATACAAACTTGTCAACTTTGCAAACCTCTTTTCTTCACTTCGTCTTCATCCTCACCACTAACAATGGCATCTGGTTCTTCCAATGCTCCTAGCGCCACCGTACCATCTGGAAACGTCAAACCTAGGGTTTTCTCGACCGCTCCAGTAGTAACTCCCACGGGCCAACGAAGGGTCCCTGAACCTTTGGACATCGCTGTTCGTGATGCTTACTCACGCCACCTTATGATCCCGGTTGGGTATTCCAACCAGATCTTTGCTATGTTTGGCCCATTGTACCCAAGCATTGCTGAGGCCATGAAGATCAAGAGTTATTTTCCAGTAGTTGAGAGACTCAAACCGGTTGCATGCACCAAGAAAGATGCAGAGGATAATGAAGACCCTGCTAAAGAGAAAATCGACCTCCGTTTCTTCAACAAAGGTGTTAGGGCTTTCAGGTCTGGCCCTAGCCTTACTTCTGATTACAGTGCTTGGCTGGAAAAGATGGAGAAATACCAAGC